GGATGATATCGAAGCGCACATGCGCGTCATGGCGAAGGACTTTGGCGTTGATCTTCAACATGGCGTCTTTGAGGGCTAGTAGTTGTATAATATATTTAATTCCCCTCATATAAGCAGCCATGCCTTTTATGAATTATGACGGTATAGGATTGGTTGTCCTAGTATTGTATGTGCATGACGAACCCGTTAAAGAGTTGTTCCAGGTCACTGTCTGCCTGTGCACCACGAACATCTACTCTCAAACTTAGCGAAGCCCGTGGAGACTACTGGAAATCATCATCTACTACGGTCTCACAACAAGCCCCGAAATAGCCTAATCCGCGCGTTCCTGAACAAAGTTCACGCAAAGAATGCCCCGCACTAGCATCCCGCTCGACATTTCCGAACCTCCCCACATCCATGGATCTTTCCGGCATCGCGTCAGGCAGGCGCCGGTAGAACATATATCCACCATAGACTCAGATCCTAGCCCTTCAAATACATAGAACACTGCTTGTAGCAAGAGTGAAATTTCTATCATCAACTCATATCTACTGCGAACAATGGCACCAAACTGGGACAGACTTATCCGCTTCATCGCCACGGATGGACGTGAGCTGCGAGGTCAACCAATCCTCCCCTCGCCAGAATTCGATGTCGGTACGACGACAGAGGAGACGGGACTAAAGGCCAAGGTAATCGATGTTAAGAACAACGACATTTTCGACCCGGCCACCAAGGTTACCGATGAGGAAGTCACCGTCAAGAAGCTGCTTGGCCCTGTGACGACAGACGAAGTACCCATCATCCGGTGCATAGGTCTAAACTTCATCAAACACAGTAAGTTCCTCTGTCATCTCGTCCCTCTCCACAAATAAAAGACATCCCATTAACCTCCCCACGCCCAGTCCAAGAAGGCGGCCGCACCCTCCCTCCTTACCCCTCAACCTTCATCAAGGCCAACACCTGCCTAAACGACCACAACGCGCCCATCGTCATCCCCAAACTCGCCCAAGACAACCAAGCCGACTACGAAGGCGAACTCTGCTTCATAATCTCGCAAGACGCCAAAAACGTCTCCGAAGCCGACGCCTTCAACTACATCGGCGGCTACACCTCCGGCAACGACGTGTCCTCCCGAAAACTCCAACGCGACCCCCTCCTCGCCGGCACAGTCCCCCAATGGAACTTCTCCAAAGGCTTCGACACGTACGCACCCTTAGGCCCTCAACTCGTATCCCCACGCGTGATCCCTGACCCTTCGAAATTGCATCTCAAGACTGTGGTGAATGGGGATCTGAGACAGAGTTCTGGGATTGACGATTTGTGCTTCAAGATTCCGACATTGGTGAGTTATTGTAGTCAGGGGACTACACTGAAGAAGGGCACGGTTTTCATGACGGGCACGTGTGCGGGCGTGGGGTATGCGATGAAGGAGCCGCAGTTTTTGAAGCCGGGGGATGTGGTCGAGGTTACGCTTAGTCCCGAGATTGGGACGCTGAGGAATACGGTGGAGTATGCTTAGGTGGATGGGTGGGTTGAGGGATTGGGTAGAGGGTGTGGGTACGGGGACCTTGATGGGGAATGTATGTATAGTGCTTTGGACTATTCGTTTGATGCGTCGAATGTACACAGATCTTACACAAATCCGATCGTTAGAATTTGAAGGTCGTGTATAAGAATTATTGCGATTCTCCACGAAGGCTCATTAGACTGCAAGATGAAATCTGAAGTCAACGATATCGATAGTATTGGATTTGTTTTCTGTACACGATTTAGCTTATCATGTCGCGTGGATATTGTTCATTATATATCCCGAGTAAACAACACGCATCACTAAGCCCATATAAATGATAACGTGATAGAATACATGCGATTTTGGAGAACAAGAAACCGTCTTCCTCATCTAAAACCTTCCAATCAAATCTTCGACCTCGCCTTACTCTTCTCCTCCATCTCCTTCCTCTTAATCTCAAACCTCTCCATGGGCGCCCCCTCAACAAACCGCTCCGCCAACGCATCCACAGCATTAACCACAGCCACCAATCTCGCATCCCTAATTGGCGCATTCTGCAACCTCTTCATCTCAATCATACTCTTGCCATCGTTCACCTTGAGCTGTTCCTCCAAGAACGCCTCAACCTTGGCATGGAACTCGTCGCCAGTAGCATCCCACACGTAATTGTACAAGCCGGCATCGAGCAGCTCTTGCGCGGAGAGCTTGCGGCCAAACATGAGGAAGTCGTTTGCGCGGTGGATGCCGATGGATTGCGCGAAGGAGAGGGCGGAGCCGTTTTCGGGGACGAGGCCGAGGGCGGAGAAGGGGCATTGGAGCCACGCGGTTGAGGAGGCGAGGACGATGTCGGCGATGCCGGGGAACCAGGCTGCGCCGCCGCCGACGGCGGGGCCATTGAGCGCGAGGATGAGGACTTTGCGGTGGCTGTGGGATGTTAGTGTTGCTGTGTGGGAATACATGGGTGTATGTAGACTTACTCAATCATCGAACGTAGAAGCTCCGTTGCTGTGCCCATGTCAGAGTTAGTACTATAATTCACAAGTGCCATCACATTTCAACATGAAAGCAAAATTGCAGTGTAGGCAAGATCGAGAAGTGGACATACCATAGCTGAACCTTGACATGTAACTCAGCTTCTTCTCGGCATCGTTCTTGAAGGATTCGCTGCCTCCTCCAGCGATTCCCTTGACATCCGCGCCGGCAGAAAAGAAGCGTCCCTCGCCTGTTAGCACGGTGAAGATGGTGTCTGGGTGCTCATTGAGAACGCGTAATCCGGCGATGATGTCGGGAATGAGGTTTCCGCCAAAAGAGTTCAGGGCCTTGGGCCGGTTGAACTGAAGGATGTGTTAGCGGACGCATACTGTGATGTTTGCGCATGGGTGGATCGGATAAGATCGTCTGGAGGGATTCGGGAGTGTGCCACGCGGATTGGTGATGGAGTCTTTGAGTGTTACCTTGATGATACCGATCTTGCCCTTGATCTCGAACTTGATATCCGAGTAATCCGATGGAGAAGTCATGATGTTTATTTTCCTGGCTCTTTCGCGCTGTTCTTTGAGGCGGTAGAGCAAGTCTCCGATTACAATGTCGCAAAGATTCTCCTATTAACACTCTGTTTTAGGTAGGTGGATGGTAAGATGGGTGATGAAGTTCCAGACTATCGAGACGGAGTGTACTTGTGGAAGATGAATAGTAAGCTTTCCCCGCAAGACGCGACAGGCCTCGGTTCGGGCGACTGAACGAAGACTCGTGTTATATATTGACGAGTCAGACCATATGAACGCGATCTAAAGAACACAGCAATTAGATGTTATGCTTTGATGCTGATTGCGTGATGAGAGATGATGCAGCGAGGTGATGTAGTCGCGTACCTGTGCATGGGTTGCTGACAATACTGTGAAGAACGATGTCGCGTTTTACCTCGGCAGGGTTACGAGGCACGTCATCACGGGCTATTACATCCACAACATCGTACGCACAGCACATAAGCCTTGACGGACTCAAGTGCGGAAGTGGCCTGATTGTTTGTTCTTTTTCAGGGACGCGCTATACGAAATCCAAGATGGTACATCGTACTGGCCGCATGACACGCACGCGCACACTCCGTGTAAAGCAGGCAAAGTCACTACCTTAAGCCAGATTTCGCACAAGGTGCACAGCATCACAAACTATAACCCGTAGTACTGTGAAGGTATATCCCTAGAACACCTAGCCTTTTTGTGAATCCATTCTAAAGCATGTGATTCGAAATCATTGTTACAGTCCCAAACCACCTGTTCATGTTCCACGCGCAAAGTCCTGATAGCCTGGAAAGGCAGATACAAATGGCACTGGAAAGTCCGTAACACTCGAAATATGAAGATGTTGCTCTTCGCTCTGCGTTATTGCAGCTCTAGCCGACTCAGATGAATGTGAGAAAAGAAAACTGCATCACATCCTCGCTGAAGCTCGAAGTCTAGCTGGAGTATCCATCCGTAGTTCTTCATTGGCCCATCAAGCAAGTCAAGTCACAAGCAGTATACCAGTCACGGGCATCACGCAAAACATTCAATCAGCGGTGCGAGAAAAGCATATAATTCCAAAGCAAACAAAACTAAAAGCACCATCACTCGCACCACACGTCCCCTTTCCCCATCTCCAAGCGCAATGGTCGTGGCGAGCTAGATGTTCCTTTCCCGTCCCTGGAAGCAGCCTCCTTGATAGAGATCCGTCAATCACGCGGACTACTAGCCGCCAACCCCATTGCAACCCTTCGAGTCTACCAGCCAAGCTTCAGTCACATACACTCTTCGCCAGATACAATTTAAAATCGTCCCCTTGTTAAGCTTTACCTCCCCACAAGCTGGCAGACATATCCGAAGGGGGGAAACTCAAGGAAAGTACTAAGAACCACATGAAAGGAGGGGGCAGGGGATAATTAATGCGAGGTGAAAGCCGTAAAGTCAAACAAAGATCAGTCATCAGCTGGAGAGCTGCCCAGTAGCACTAGCTGTGCAAGACGACCAAGATAATCGGTTGGCTGTAATCCGGAAGGAGTTGAGATGTGTTTACAAGCCGAACTGTGATGCCAAATGGAGATACCGTGTGGGTCGAGCTTCCAGAGATGTGAGATAGTCGTCAGAGACGCATGGCCATGAGAAACGCAAGACAGTGGAATGTCTTCCTAGGTCCGTACGAGGTGTCTGACGAATGGATCCCATGAACTGATCAAGGAGCGACGCCGTCCAATATGTTGCCAGGACGGCAATGCCGCATTTCCCATTCGTTGTGTGTGCGGAGCCGCGTCAGAAGAAGCGGTCACGCAAGAGTTGAGATGACGAATCGAAAGCCGCATCAAATCAGTAACCAGATGCATACTGGTCCCCGCCACGCTTGTTGGCCGAACGAAGCTGCCTGAAAGAAGGAAGAAGGTTAGTAAAATCTGGATCTGGCGCCCCCCGCGCTAAGCGTTCTCAACACCAAACGCAAAGGAGAGGGTCCCTTACGAGGATCAGATATATCGAACTCACATTCCGGTGCCCTCCTGGCGCGCGTTGACCGGACCGCGCTTGGTGCCAGCTGCCGTGCCCGCGTTGGCAGCGGCGGTGGTGGTGACGTGGCGTCCGCGGCCCTTGTCGTCTTCCTCGCCCTGGCCCTGGTTGGCAGCCTGGGCGATGGCTTGGGCGTTCTTCTGGTACTTGTAGACGGTCCAGTCGAACACGTAGTCGTACTGGAAGCCTTCACGGACGAAGAGGTCGCGGAAAATCTTGCGGAGGTACGAGTAGTCGGGCTTGTCATCGAAGCGGAGGGAACGGGTGTAGTTGAGGTAGATGGCGAACTCGTTGGGGAAGCCACGGCAGAGGACCTCGGTGGGAGTCGTCATCTTCTTCTCCATGATGCGGTCGTATTTCTGCTTCTTGGTGGCCGCCTTAAGACCCTGCCAGGGAAGGGATCCACGGCAGAAGTAAAGCATGACATAGCCCAGAGACTCCATGTCGTCACGGCGGGATTGTTCTGGTCATGTTAGTTTAGCAAGCTGGATGATGTGCGGGATACGTACCGACACCCAAGTGAGTGTTGATGGAGGCGTAGCGGGCGGTACCAGTCAAGTTCTTGTTCTCTCTGTACGGGATGTGGAAGTGCGTCTTGGGATCGCGGTACTTCTTGGCCAGACCAAAGTCGATGACATTGACCTGGTTGCCGCGCTTGCCAATGCCCATAAGGAAGTTGTCGGGCTTGATGTCGCGGTGGATGAAGGACTTGGCGTGGATGTACTCAATGCGGGAGATGAGCTGATCGGCGAGGAGCAAAACAGTCTTCAGGGAGAACTTGCGGTTGCAGAAGTTGAAGAGGTCCTCGAGGGAAGGGCCGAGCAGGTCCAAGACCATGGCGTTGTAGTCGCACTCGGTTCCGAACCAGCGGACAAAGGGGATGCCGACACCGCCAGCGAGCGACTTGTAGACGCGGGCCTCATATTCGAGCTGGGGGTGCTTCGCCTTGACGCTCTCGAGCTTGATGGCGATCTCCTCACCAGAGATGATGTTGGTACCTGTAGACGTCAGCGGTGCTGGGGGTGGTGGGCGATGGGCGGCGGCTACGTACCGAGGTAGATGTCACCGAAACTGCCGCTACCAATCTTGCGGCCGATTCTGTACTTGTTGCCGACGCGGAGGTCCTGCTACTGTCAGCCTGGGGTCCTGCGGAGCGGTGCTTGGCCGCCGTGGTGACGGCAAGCGGGGTCGGGGCGTACCATTGTCGTCATGCTTGCAGAGGTGCAACCTTGAGGAGGTTGGCCTGTGGTGGAGGGAGGTGTTGAGGGGGGTGGGTCGAGTGTTGTGACGATGGGGGCGCGGTGGTGTTTTGAGGATCAGCCTGCTGCGGTGGACCGGTCAGTATGAGGCTTTAGCCAACAAGGCGGTGAGTAAGCGGAGCGGGCAGCCGAGAAACGCTAAGGGAGGCAGTCGAGCGTGTTGACCGACAGGTAAAGGAAAGGCCAGCGAGCAGGTGCGTCGTGGTGAGAGATAAATAGGGCACGGGGGGCAGAGGGCGGAGCCGACTGACGAGCTGGGCAGGACTTACTGTAGGGCGTGAATGAGCCCAACGATCAACGATGCCGGAGAGCGTAGGTGCGGGCTGGCGGGCGGGCGAGGTTTGCAACTCTAGCGAAAACGACACAGAGAGGCAGCTGCAGGGCACGGGACAGCACAAGAGGCCGGTAGAACAAGCACACTGTGATCGTGGTGCTGTATCAAAGGAACGCTGATGGCAGGATGAGAGCCACCTGCCTTGTATTCGGCCACCGTCCTTGGCGCGCTAGCGAGCTCTTTCACCGTGGACTGCTGCCCGCTGCCCGCCGCCGTGTATCAAGCCTGCGGACCGCAAATCACATCCCTGGGCCGCTCGGAGGCATCGCGACCCATCGCACCGCCGTTTGCGTTGCGCGTGTCCACACATGTCCAGGGTGTCTGTGTCGAAATGCCACTGCCCGTTTCAAATGCCGTCGCCTGACTGCCGCATCATGCGACTGAGCCACAGATCTGCCCCTTTATGCATCTCGCGCAGTTCGCGAACCGATTGCGCTATATTTGACTTTGACCAAGAACGTCCTGCAGACGCCGTCCCGCTGCTAGAATGAAATTTCGTCGTAGCCGATGTTCTGGAAAGACTGCGGCCCGAAACTGTCTCGTGACGAAGGTCGGGTACGGCAAACACATCATAATTCAGACTAGGCAAACACCACTTGCGTATAACAGTTTCATCGTTCAAAGCCAGAAACTACCCCATGAAGAGTGTTCCGCATATCCGTACAAGCCCTTTCAACAACACAATAGCGCTCGGCGAGATGCTTTTTCATTCGGAACAAAGGAAAGCATCAGTCCCAACACCATCTCACCACTCTCTCGCTGTGACATCACATCTGCAGAACTCTTCGGACTATATAGTTATGCCTGCTAACCGAATCCGCTATACTTACTGTATGAAGCACCGCGTAGCATGTGCCCATGGTCTGATACAGCATTACATCCCGCCTCTCATAGCGAGGACAGTTATACAATCTCCTTTGTAGAGCTGCTCAGCTGTGTCAAAAACATTCGATACCGGAAACATCCGAATACCATCTTGACAGCGTACACCATCAACATGTAGTGACAAACAGGTTCGAAGGGAATTTGGAACAGTCTGTAGGTCAAACATAGTCTAGCAGCAGGTGATATGCATGCGGAAACCGCCTCACCTCATACAAGAAAAAAACTGAACAGGTCTGCAGACTACATTGACCCAAAACCTTGCAGAGTAGATTACCCAACGTCAACATAGGCGCCAGGGCTCCAAGCTGTTCAGTTTTTTCCTAGGTTGGCGTGGCCTGGTAGATGGGATTAAACCCCACCATATCTCTGATCCTCTTGGGTTGAGCCGAAGTACGCTCCCTGGCAACGTGGTAGCGATCTCTGCGTAGAAAGTTGCCTGCAATTCAGTTGACACGCACTCGCATGATCAGAGCCGCAGAACAAGAAATATGATGTGTTCGTGATGGGTTGATTTTGCCAAGTCTATACAGCCATCTCAGTCGGAGACCTTGAATGATCCTCCTCCTCCGCGGCTATTATACACTGCCTCTGATTGCACTCGTATGCTCAAAGACCGCTCCCCGTATCGCGAAGTATCCGGCTTAGTGGTTCGGCGCCTGGTTCTTAAGGGCTGGGTTGCGCGGGTCGTTCTTGTACTCATCGGCTGTGCTGGTCAGCCTGCGAACATGGATCGAGCTGAATGACTTCGTCTCTGGGATGGGGATTACGTACACTGGGCCATGGCGTTGGCGGCAGAGTTGACACCGTAGAGGATGACGAGGCCTATTGACTCTTGTTAATCCTGTCTCACACTGCGAGCCCTCGGCTCCCAAGCAATTCCATCTCCTTCCAGTCCATCAATTGGGCTCCTCCAAGTATTCTCTGCCCTAATCTAAGTCGCGCAACGTACCGGAGACGTAGAAAGGCCACATGGGCTTGGCTGTAGTACCTCGTTAGCAATCTTTTCAAGCTCGACTTTCCACTATCTGCGCGTGCAGGGTGTCGTACCGATTTGCGCCGGGAACTTCCTTCCGAGAAGAGGCATTGTGACGTGTGTTGGAGGGGCAATGGACTGATTTGACGGTTGCGGCGAGGGATGCGGTGATGGGTTGAGCTCCGCTCGAAGAACAGCCCTGGAGATGCTTGGCGTCTGCGCACGGATCCCTCGTTGCTTTGTACTAAGAGGGAGCAACATCCCACTTCGCTCGCGTCCAGATTACACTTGCGATTGCCGAACCTTTTGCGATCATGGCGCTGGAAGGATGCGTAGGCTCGCTGCGCAGTAGTATGCAATTACTCGATTCATCTATCAACATACTGGACCAAGGCGTGAGCGACTTCCCCCGTCTGGCCAAAGTACTGCAGACGACACGGGTGTGTACACGTTGAGAACATGATCATCTTCATCGTGTTGACTCTGGAACAGCATTTCGAGCTCATCTCCGAATCTGACCTCCAAACCGCGCAATCCGCACTCCTTTCAGAAATCCGCCCCGAGGTCGATAACCTTCTTAAGCGCGTAGAGAACTACCTCGACAAGCTGGAGCGTCGCGAGCAATCCTTGATAGCGAAGTGCGATCTGAACGACGGCAGACTTGGACGCGACAACAATGGCAGCTCAGGCCCCAGACCAGAAGGCAGGACCGCACAGCGAAGCGGAGGCAAGACCATCAGCGCGCAACAAGAAATGAGGATGAAGACCTTGAAGGCGAAGAAGGATAGGCTAAGCTATGCCGTAGAGACGCTAGAGTTGCAGGCGAAGCAGAGGGAGCGGCAGTTGCGGATGAGCATGGCCGCACCGCAGCAGTTATACGACGATTGATGTTCTACTACATTTAGGTAGAGAAAGCATCAGCTAGCCCATTAGTGATGGAATGGGCCGCATGAGTTCACAATCTTGGAACAGGCGTTTTGGCAATAAGATACCCCGGAGTAGTCCAATACAGACACCATATCATACCCACGTAGTCTCAAGAAATGCAAGAAGACGTGAATCTTCATTTAACCTCGGACGCCTGGTGCATAAAGAAGGCCTCCACAGCAGTTGAAATCAGCACTTTGGGTTGACGCGAATGACATTTACTTTGTTCCACGGTAACAAGCTACACAAGATAGTGCATAGCCTCGAAGGTGTAGTAAAGCGAAGAAAATATGCGTTTTCGGGTAGTGTTGTGATACCCAGTTCAGATGGTCAAGATGCTGGTGATGCGCTAGCGTCGGCTAACCCCGTGTCCTGAGGGAGCGCAGAACTCGCAGAACACCGACATTGAACATTCTCCGACCACATCTTCCCCACCACCCCGTCCATCATGAGCTCTCTCCGCATCGCCCGAGCTGCCCTCCGCGCGAGGCCCGCTGCCATTGCCCGCCCCATCCAGCGCAGAGGGTACGCCGAAGTCGCCAATGACAAGATCAAGCTCTCCCTAGCTCTCCCGCATCAGGTACGCCATACCAGCTGTCGCAACATGCGGGGGCATGCCCCAGGTTGCAATTGGCATCTGAACTGAGAGGCTAACTGGTGGTCAACAGTCTATCTACAAGTCCCAGGATGTGTACGTCGCTCGAGACCCCGGCCGATCCCGCAAAGCGAAATCGCGAATACTGACATGAGATGTTTTACAGCGTCCAGGTCAACCTCCCCGCGGAGACCGGTGACATGGGTGTTCTGGCCAACCACGTTGCCTCCATCGAGCAGCTGAAGCCCGGCCTAGTCGAGATCATCGAGGAGCAGGGTGGCAGCAAGCAATTCTTCCTGTCTGGTGGATTTGCTGTTGTGCAGCCCAACTCCGTCCTCAGCATCAACGCCGTCGAGGGCTACCCATTGGAGGACTTCAGCGCCGAGGTACGAGCGGATGCATGGAGATGGGGAACAACGACTGACAAGGAGATAGGCTGTCAGGAACCAGATCGGCGAGGCACAGAAGATTGCCAGCGGAAACGGCAGTGAGGCTGACATTGCTGAGGCCAAGATCGAGCTCGAGGTACGCACCGCAAACCCATCTTAGCAAGAAGCGCTGACAAGACCTAGGTCCTCGAGAGCCTGCAGGCTGCATTGAAGTAAATGTGTAAATAGCGTTCCTTGAGTACGGCATGCGCGGTATGTATAGTAGCAAGCACAGAGCATGCGTGCTTTCCGTGGTCAAAGAATAGAAGGAGCTCCCTGAGGTGACCAAAACATTCCAAACATCTTGCAGCTTCGCTCCTCTTGACCACATTCCTCTGCAATCCGGACCGACCGTACCTTAGCCCACCAGCAACCCTACGAGCTACACTACTTTTATTGTTACCCTTCTATCAGTTTGTCTTACTTCTTTAGCACCCAGTCTTACTCTGTCTTACTTCGTTACAGCTTGTCTTACTTCACCACATCGATCGCAGTTTTCCTTACATACAATCAACAGTTACCACGCGTCTACAACATCACCCTTCTCACGTCTGCAACGCATTATCCAAAAGTTTAGCGTCTCATGCCCCGAGGCTTCAACCAACCCACGTCAAGTTCTGCGTCCCGAGCTACCAATGCGGGACTACGCGAGCAGAGCAATCAACCATCAAACATAAGAACTAGACAGGGTCGGTTCGAAGCTCCTGCTACGATACCGGGAGCCGCAGAGGCGAAGCAACCATACCCGACCACATCCAGACGCAAGTCTAGTAGTCCCTCAGCTTTGCCCCTCCCACAAGC